GCCGCGCCCGCGGGACGCCGGCCCGGAGCGGCTCGGCCCGGCGCGGCGCGGCGGCCGCGGGGGATGGAGCCCTTCCTGGGCTGCACCGGCGCCGCGCTCCTGCTTTGCTTCAGCTACGCCGGTCTGCGGCCGGTGGAGGCAGGTAACGGCCGGCGGGACCCGGGGAGCGGCGGGGGAAGCGCGGCCGTGGGGGGAGTCGGGCGCCGGGACACCGCCGGTTACCGGGTGCGGAGCGGCCCTGCGGCTGCGGCTCACGGAGCGGAGCGGAGCGGCGGGCGGAGCGGCGGCGCGATGCCCACGCGTGTCGGCAGCGGAGAGCTCCTGTGAGCTGTCCTGTGGGGCACGGAGCGTCCCGGCCTCGTGACGCTTCCAGGCGATCGGCTCCTCCAAGGGGACCGCCGGGGAGGATGGAGCTCCCCCGGGGGTTTGTCCTGTTTTTGACACAAGCAAGAGACACTCGGGTTCTGCTCCAGCCAAGCTGTACCTTCGCCTCAGTGCCCAGCAGGTGCCACGTCTCAGCAGCGCTGCTGGGAGCTGCCCGTGAGCCCTCGGCCCCGGCCCCGGCCCTGCCGGCTCTGTCTGCTCGGCACGGAGGCTGCGGGGTCTGATGGAGCAGCTGCTTTGATTTGCAGAACGCCCGGATAGCTCGCATTCCCGGAGGCTGTGGGTAACTGTCAGCACGCACGGCTCCAGGGAGTGGAAATTCCTGTGCTCTGTGGCTCTGTTAGCTGTGGGGTTACAGCCACCCACAGCCCACCCCCACTGGAGCTGCAGGATCCCCTCGGGACGCTGCTGGGTTTGACACACACATCCGTGGCCAGACGTCAGTGTGCTGAAGGGGAAGACGGGGAGATGAACAAAACATTCCTAAAAGGAGAGAATGATGGAGAAAAGAGCACATCTGCAATTGGCCTTCCTGATTTCCTGCAAACTGGGACACTTCCCCTGCTCTTCCTTATCCTTGAATCACCTCAGCAGTGATGGAGAGTAAACACAGCGCTGTGTCTCTGCCCATCGCAGCCTCTGCCTGCTTCTCCCCAGCAGTGGCTGTGGCCATTGGGTCCCTGTGAGGCTTTGGGCAGCGCAGCCCTGCTGGCAACTGTGCTGTGCAGCGGGGATGTGACCCCAAAGGCTCCGGGTGTGTGAAGCTGTGCGACCTTGGGGCTGCTCCTCCCAGCTCTGTATGGGCCAGGAGTTGAAGGTACGGGTAGGGACAAAAGGGACGTGGGCATGGCATGGTCATCCCAAGGTCACACGGAGGTGGAGGCAGTGTCCCCATCGGCTCTGTGGCCGCAGCACCACCTGAGCACGTGGCCATGAGGCCGTTGAGCAGAGAAGCATCAGGGAGACTCACAGAGGGGCACCCAGCCCCAGCGGGGTTCAGCTCTCCCCCCCTTGCACCCAGAGCTCCCACAGGCAGCTGTCAAAGAATGCACCGTTAAGGCCAAAAGCTGCCATCCCTGCAATGACCCATAGGAAATGGTGTAAATTCCCCTTCTGGCACTGCGGGGCTGGCAAAAGGCAGAGCTGTAGAGTGGAGGGAAAGGTGCGACCAACCAGACCAGGAGAGGCATCAGCTCCAGTGCAGCTCCAGCCCAGAGCCCACAGCACGGCCAGACCACGTGCAGGACCCACACAGCAGCTCTGCACAGCAGCAGTTCCAGCACTTCTTTGCAGCCCCTTCCCAGCTCCTGAGGGCCACAGAGATTCCTGGCCAGCTGACGAGTGGCATAAGCACCGTATTGATTTCTGCTTTCAGTGTAGGAGAGATTTAATTGCGGTGTGGAGGTTTCTGACCCCAGTGTCAGATTCCCAGCAGAGATGGTGCTGTGCTGTCTTGTTCTGAGTGCTGTCTCCTGCTGGGAACGTGCAGAGGGAGGACAGAGAGGGCTCCTGCAGGGCACTTCGCTCGCACACACACCGTGCACAGCACCACGGCAGGACTCAGACCTTCATGGGGCTGTGCCTGTGTGCTGGTGCTGTGTGTGGCCTCATTTGGCATCGATTGTTTAATAAACCCCTCCTGTCTTATAAAGCACCCAGAGGCCAAATTAAGATCTGACTCAAGCATAATTCAGTTAAAAGCATAAATGCATGGAGCAGTGAAACACGCAGATCTTTATGCATGCAGCAAAACCCCAGGTGTTGGGCGTGGGAGCAGCCAGAGCTCTGGGTACAAAGCCTGGGGTGCTCAGCCACCCCCCAGCCAGCACTGCTCTGATGTCACCAGCGCTGCTGGGATGTTTGGTTCCCAGATAAAACACCACAACGACCCAGCACTGAGTTGGGATACACACAGAGGTTGGGCAGCACCAACATTCACCAGGGCAGCGATGGCCACAAGGCAGATGGGCCCCATTCCTCCCACCCAGAACAACATTCAAGGCCGAGCACAGCGAGCGTCACCACCAGGCACAGAGCTGGGGCTGCCTGCTAACGTGCTGCCTGCAGGAGTGGGCGAGCAGCAGGAAATAATTCCCTTTGTCCCAAAGGGAGGCACCAGGGGCTGCTCTTTGTGTTCTCCAAGGCTGCAGTGCTCCCACACAGCCCCGCTCACTGGGCACAGAGCTGCGCCGTGCCCCACTCGCTCCCACTGCCCCCCAGGCTCTCCTCATTAAAGCACTCAGGGAAGCTGAACGGCGCGCCAGCCTGCCTGCATACCCCATAAAGCTGACAAGCCATTACATCCAGTGAAGAGAGCCATGCTGGGAGAGCAGAGAGCGGCTCCAAACGCAGTAAAAGCAGGGCTTTGTGCTCACAGCCGATGGGCAGGCAGCGGTGCTTTGCAGAGCATCACACCAGATCGTAGCGATGCTTCTTCCCCTCGCAGGTTGCCCCCCTCCATCCCTCTGTCTGCAGGAGAGGCCGCAGTGCAGGAGCACAGAGCAGCCGGGGTCGGATGCTCCGATGCGACCCCCTGTGCACAACAGGAGCTGCGTGGGGAAGGGGGGCTCAGTGAACCAACACACATCGTGTCATCGCCTTAGCCCTGCCCACCTTGGAAGCTTTTGACTCCAGGCACTTCCAAGCTCACAAGCAGCAGATGTGGCAGCGGCGGGATGGGGACAGACGTGTCCCACGCAGCTCTGCAGCAGTCACCATGAGGGCAGGTGTTCCTGCACAGCTGGCTGGTTTGCTGTTCCTCGTGTTGCACCAACAGCAAAAAGCGAGGGAGGAATCAACCCAAAGCTCTGAAGTAGTTGTGTTAGATTTTTTTCCCCTCTCTCCCAAATGAAAGTCCATTAACAATCAGCAGAGCGTTTAATGAGAGGCCAGAAGGAATTCCCAGCACTAAGAAAGGATTAAGGGTAATCTTTGCCTCTCACAGCTCCTCACTGCACAGAGATGGTCCCAACCCACACCTGCTGAAAGGGCCTCGCAGAGGTTCCTTGTGGATGGGAAACAAGGCAGAGGCAAAGCACGATTGGTTGTGGAGCAGCCATTCCTCACCAAAACCCACCTTGTTTTCATTCAGTCACGGCCCCATCACAACAGGGGGATGCTGACATGAAACTGAGAGCATCTCCTCAGCCAAGCACGCAGCTCCAGCTCCAAATGGGCCAAGCTCTGACTTTTGGCAATACATGATTTGCTCCAGAAGGCGCTGCAGGCCCCGAGCCGTGGTGGAGCCGCACTGCTAACCAGAAATCTTGCACCATGAGTTCTGTATGGAGCAGGCAGGGAAGGGGCACTCAGTAAACACACAGGAGGAAGGTTTGATGCACAGCGTGCTCCATGCTGTCAGGAATCGCCCTTAGGGCTGCCCAGCCCACTGCCCTCACACAGCAGCAGCTCCCAGGAGTCACAGCCAGGCACAAAGGAACCTTGGGATCCAGCAGCCCACGGCCCTGCGGGAGGCGCTGAGCCCCTGATCCAGCGGGGAAACAGAAACCACAGCGCTCAGCTCCATGGGCGCAGCTGGAGCCTCACCAGCAGAGCATCTCAGAGCACTGAGCAGATTTGGGGAAGCCGTGATCCCATCACAGACCTCCTGGGAGCGGGAGAAGAGCGTGCTCACGGATTGGGATTTTGGTCACCAATGCTTCATTCAGCCCTGGGAGCGGGGAACTCATCTTCCTGGCTTTGTACTTCTGACAAACGCTGTGCTGCATTCTCATATCACTGCCGTACTGATTTGGCACCTCTGATTTATGTGTAGCCGCTGCTGCTCTGTAGTAGTGAAGGAGAGACGCTCAGATCTGGATATTGCTGTTATCTCCCAGCTGTAGCTGCTGCCCGCGCTCCGTTCTGCTCCGCAGGCTCCAGGCATCGGCTGCAGCTCTGCCAACTGCTTCCCCCCTCCCCAAGGCTCCTCTTTCACCTTGCTTCGCACTCCCACCTCCCCCACGCTCTGTGTCAGCAGGACAGAAACTTTGGCGTTCTTTGTGCTGTGCCCCCCTCCCCCCCAAGGTCACACATCTCAGTGGGGACGCAGCGCTGCACCGCATTCCCTTTTCTCCATGAGAAGCTTTTTCTGCTCCCTGCTCCCCACAAGGTTAATTCCTCTCTCTCCAAAGCCTTCCTCAACCCACACTGGGCGACTCCTCCTAAAAATACCTCGGCAAGGCGACCCTGCTGGGATTTAGCAGCACAGCTGCGCTGGGAGCGGGGCGAGGTGCCCGGCTGCAGCCCCACTGCTTTGTCTGTCACCTTCCAGCCCCACCGCGCCCCCCGTGTGTTCCAGCACATTCATCAGCCATGACTCACAGCCCTTCCCTGTGCATTCCGTCTGCTGACTGCTAAAATTAGATGGTCCTCTGGTCAGCACGTGGGGATGGGGATGGCGAGGAGCCGCCTTGGGAGGGGAGCGGCGTCGGGGTGAGCCTTGGGGTCCCGTTGCACAGCGGGTGCACCAGGTGCAGTTTGTGGATAGAAGGCAGCAGTATATCACCACTGCTCTGCTGAGAGAGCAGTGCTGACCTTCACTGAGGTGTCCTGCGCTCCCTTATTCTCTCCCTTCCCAAGGGAACGCTCACCAGGAGCGAGGCCAGCTGCCAGTTGGCACTGAGGCTCCGGCCGGAGCATTTTCAGCCACATTCGGGCATCCAGGGCTGACTATAAACCCAACAGGTGTCACTGGAGATGTGCACACGTCTCCTTCTGATGGGGTTGACCTCAACCTCAGAAGGGCAGCACCCTGCAATGGTTAAAAAGAGAAGTGTTACTCTTTGATGCAAGGAAACGTGGCCCATTCTCACCATACCGACCTCCTGGCGCTGTGAGCAATCCGGGCAGCATTTACCACCTTTGGTTCATGGCTTGGCCCTTCCACATCACAGCAGTCCATCAGGGGCTGCTGCAGTGTGTGCTGTTCTGGCAGCAGCGAGTGGATGGAGGGGAAGGTGGGGAAAATCCTCCGACCATCTGAGAGAGCCCATCAGCTGTGTGCAAAATACAAAAACGTGTACAAAAAAATTCTGACAAGCTCACGAGGACAAGCAAAAAGAACGCCCCTGTTTACTACCTCTGAATTTCCACCCTCCAGAGCTCTCATTCTGCTTTCATGCCTCCCAGACAGATTCTGCATTTCCTCCCAGCTGTTGCTGTCAGACTGTAATGGGACGCAGCAGAGAAAACACGGCACGTGGCTGAGAGACAGGAGATGTGTGAGCTCATCAAAGCTCAGACATCCTCAGATTGTTTTGGGGGGTGTGTGCAGATATTCCGTGTGCCCAACGCCACTCACCCTCAGCAGAGAGCTTCAGAGCCTTGCTGGTAATTAAGACATAGATCTGCCATTTCCAGGTCCCACACTCAGAGCTGCTGGCAGGAAGGCCATTTGCAGCTCAGTTTCTCATGCCTCAGACCACAGCCAGACCTCACGTTTCCTTCTGCTCCCCCAGTCCCTCCCTGCTCCTTGCCCTCACTCCATCTCCTGCTGCAGCTCTGTGTCCCTCCTTGCAGACAGCCCGTCGGCTCCGGTCAATGTCACAGTCAAACACCTGAAAGCCAACTCAGCCGTGGTGACTTGGGACGTTCTGGAGGACGAAGTTGTCATCGGATTTGCCATTTCCCAGCAGGTACGATGCCTATTGTTCCCCAGTTTTTTCCCCACATTCATTTTCCCCCAGGTCCCCTCAGTTTCCAAACTCTCTCATCGCAGTGTGAGCCATTCCTTCTCGTCCTGTCCCATGGTCTCGGGGGGGAACTCGCTTCCCATCCTCCTTGCAGCAGCGCTCGCTGTGCCGCTCGCTGCAGAGGTCTCCGTGCCCATGGTGGACAGGGCAGGAAGCAGTGGTTTCAGACACCAGCAGTGCACACACGAGGTCCCTCCGCCACTCTGTGCTCTCCTCTCTCGGCTTCCAGAAGAAGGACGTGCGGATGCTGCGCTTCATCCAGGAGGTGAACACCACCACCCGCTCCTGTGCCCTCTGGGACCTAGAGGAGGACACTGAGTACATTGTGCATGTCCAGGCCATCAGCATCCAAGGCCAGAGCCCTGCCAGTGAGCCAGTCCTCTTCAAGACCCCCAGGGAAGCTGAGAAACTGGCTTCTAAAAATAAAGGCAAGTGTGGGTGAGTTCCATGTGGCCCCCAGTCAGTGCAGGGCTCTGAGGGAGGAAGGACGGATGCTGTGCACTGAGGACAGCTGGGTTAGTTGCACACAGGGTTGAGGCCCTCTGACAGCCCTGCACAGACACGTGGGAAGCTCTGAGCATTCCCAGCAGTCAATGAGACGCTGAGGTTGCGCTGCTGTCAGGGCTGAGCCCAGCATAAACAAACTCCTGCGTGAGCATCCTGATGCACTTTACAGCCCAGCACTGAAAGCGACCGCACGCATCTAAGATGAAGATGAGGTTCCTTCGCGTCAGCAAAATAGCACCAAGAGGTCAGCAGCCACTACTGCCAAAGGCTGGCTGTCCACTCCTCTATTTCAGATTTAACGGGCAAAGCAAGGAGGTTTGCAGCCTGAGAACAGAGAGCCCTGCATTCTTACAAGTTGGGAATGCCGATTTTCTTATATTTCAAAAGTTGATGCCAAATCACAGAACTGCTGAGGTTGGATGGGACCATCTGAGATCACCTGGTCCAATCTCTGCTGAAAGGGGCTGAACCAGAGCTGGAGGTCCAGGACCACATCCAGTTGGGTTTTGAGTACCTCCATGGATGAGATTGGGCAATTTCTGCCCAGCAGCTCCTTCCCTTATTTCCCTTAAGCCAAACCAGATGGAGAAAGTTTGCAGATGGGGAAAGTTTGCTCACAGGAAGAATCTCTGCTGCAGACAGGGCTGGGGAGCACAGGGATTGGGACTGCAGGGGTTACTGCTGACCCAGGGCCCAGCCTGCTGCAGGGCTGTTGGCCACGGGTCCTGGGATGCCACGAGTTCTTGACTCTTTCTGCCAAAATGGTTTGGTGTCTGTAAACACAGAATTACCGTTCATCTGAAAGCACTAAGAGGAGCACTGCTCCCCTCCCTGGAGGCCTAAGCTGTAATCTTCTTAGTGCTTTGAAGGCGAGGAGGTGCATTACGCCCTGCAAAAAGTCTCAGTGCATCCCCAAGCCCCACAGCTCCGCTGAGAAAAACCGCGCCTGGCTCCTTGTGCCGAGCTGTGGCAGAACTGCTGAAGCATGCAAGGCGTTGTGACAGGCACAGACGGCTCCAGCAGAGAGCAGAGCGAGCCGCCACAGAGCCAGGCAGCGCGGTCAGCCCGTCCCCATTCACTTCTCCTCCCTCTCCCCATCTCCTGCCAGCAGGGCTGAGCGCGGGGCAGCGGCGGCGCTCGTGGGGCGCTGAGCCAGGGCCACGGCCGAGCCAAAGTCTGGCGCTTCATCATCTCTTTTTCCCTCCGTGCAGATGAGGTGACAATGAAGGAGATGGCGAAGAAAAACCAACAGCTGCGCGCAGGGGAAATACTCATCATTGTGGTGGTGTTGTTTATGTGGGCAGGTCAGTTCCTTCTCTCGGTCCAAGCTCGTCGTTCCCTGCCCTGTGTGTGCGCCCCCCCTGCACACCAGGAGCTGAAATCAGGTGAACCGGTGCTCTGTGCTGGCACAGCACCACGCAGATGATAGACTTGATGAACCAGTTGTCTAATTCAGCACGGCCAATCCTGCAAGCTCCATTTTTCCAGGAAGCACTGATGCTAACGCCATCAGCCCTCACCAGGACGCCTGGAGCGCTTCAGACAGCGCAGGCCACAATTATCTGCCTTATTATGACCTCAACTCTCGTGCAAAACAGAAATTCCCTGACGAGTTCTGCCAAAGTTCAGACACCCCAGACGCCAGGAGTCCCCCCTCGATGCCAACTATTATATTTACACTAAAACTGACTGCAAAAGCAATTGAAACAAAGGAAGCGCGTAAAGAACAAATGGCTCCCAACATCCAAACACTGATAAGCCCAGACCCTCTCCAAATTCTGTACTAAACATACAGAGTAGCATTTGACAGGAAATAGGAGAATGTTAGGTTGCAAGGTTGGGATGGAGGGGAAGGAGGGTGAGCTGAAAAGTAGCACTGAAAGCAGCACCCAGAAGGTGCTTTGGAGCAGAGCACCAAACAGATGCACTCCTCCAATACGAGGATCTCTCACTATGGCTTTTTGTAGCAAGTACAGAGATACGGCATTTCCACAGAAAACAGTTCTCCAATGAGGGTTTGGGATCACATTTCAATAGATACCAATATATTCCAGACTGTGCTCAGGACAGACCTCACTCCTATGCTTTAAGGCAGCAGGAAGGGAGAGGAAAACGCCCCGACCCCATTGGCGCTGTGCATCACCAGCCCTTCGGCTCGTTCCATTTGGAAATCACACGCATGAGTTGATGGGGAAAAAACAGTTTGCATGTTTGTTTTCTATTTCGAGCCGCAGCCTCCCCAGGCCGCCACTCAGCTGCTGCTGCCTCCCAGTGCCAAACATTCTCGAGGCAGAGCAGCTCCACGCTCACAGAGCGCCTGGGGGTGCAGGGGGCGGCCCAGGCAACCCAAGGGAACCGCCAGGCTGGGAAATGAGCACAGGGGCAAATCTGTGACCCATAAGAGACAACTGGAAAAGTCCTGAGTTGATCATGCATGGCTGTTCACATTTGCAGGGTCTGGAAGGCAATTATTGCTAGAGATGATCACCGAATTAGGCCTAAATTGAGGTTACAAAAATCCTCCAGCCCAGAGTCTTTTTGGCATTTAAGTCACCTTTTATCTCTGCACATCCCAATTTAAGAGCCCTGCCAGTAAAAACGATCACGACTAATTACACAAAGTGACACAAGAACCGATTCATCTCCATTGTAGCACAGCCTGACACTCAGACCAGCACCTCAGTGAAGGACCCACTACCACCGCCATTCCCTTCAGACAGGAATTACACTTTTGAAGCAAAGTCAGGGGGAAAACAGGGATTTTGCAGCCTTTCCCACCTGGCTGCCCCTGCTTTCCTCTTCCTGTGCTCATTGTGCGTGTGGGAGGAAATTTCCACTGGCAGTTTCTGCTGCCATCTCTGTTACATAGCCGCAGATGCTGCCCTGCTGCGCTGCAGCCCCAGGCTGACACTGCACACAGGCAGGCTGGGTGCCTGCCCTGCATCTGCCAGCTCCACATCCTCCCAGAGGAAAGGGCCATAAGGAACATTCCCACCAACCAGAAATTCCAGGAGCTCCTGTGCTTGCAAAGCAAAGATCCCACCCAACCACACAGGCAGCGCTATCGCCACGCTAACATAGGTTTAAAGCACTCATCCCACTTGCCTTAAGCTTCTCTCCTTGTAACCACCTTAGCAAGGAACTTGTGTAGGAAGCAGCCGGAGGGCTGAGGAGCTCTGTTAGAAAGGAGCAAGCATGGATGATGCTGTGATCTCCACCAGGAGGCACGGAGCTCTGCAGACTCAGCTCCTGGGTGCTCATTAATGCTTTCTCCCCACCAGGGGTGATCGCCCTGTTCTGCAGGCAGTACGACATCATCAAAGACAACGAGCCCAACAACAGCAAGGAGAAAGCCAAGAGCGCCTCGGAGAACAGCACCCCTGAGCACCAGGGCGGGGGGCTGCTCCGCAGCAAGGTGAGTGCTGGGGGGCAGCAGGCAGGAGCTCCCAGCAGCTCCCCACCACCAGCCGGGATGCAGGAAGGCCAGGCCCCTTCACTTCCATGCATGCCAACGCTGCAGCACCATTAGCAGCCTGAGCATCCCCACACTGCAGGCACCAGCACCCACTGCACTGCATTTCCTTATTACTGGAGATGGCTCATTAATGCACACACACCTACAAGCAGACCTCCACAAATCAAGCCAACACCTTCACAACCAACAGGGGATGGGAGCGAGCGCTTTTACACAGTAAGAACTCACACACACTGCACAGACCCAACGTGGGTATTTTTTTCCTCCCCAGCTATTTCCATACACCTTCTCTTCCTTTGTCTCCTCTCTCCCAGTTCCCAAAAAACAAACCCTCAGTGAACATCATTGAGGCATAACAGCTGCTGCTGATGGACTCCACTTCTCACGCTCACATTCTGCCTCTGAGCCTCAAGGACCGGGAGGTGAAATAGCATCAGAGCGATTGGGAAGGGGACCCAGCAACTGTCACCTGATGGCAAACAGCTCCTTCCTTATCTCTGCAAACATCTGACCGGAAGGAAGAACCCTGCAAAAACAAAACAACCCAAACCCAACCAACCAAGATGGAAAAGCAGCAGTGAGAGCCGCTGCCTGCAGTCCTGCGTGGGACTCATGGATCACTGCACGGCAGCGGCCTCCCATGCTCTCCACCCTCACGCTCCGTCTCCTGGAACAATTTTCTCATCTTTGGAAACGTGCAATGTTTTGTTGTAGCGCTGTCTCACCGTCACCCCATCTCGGCTGTATGGCTGTGAGCTCCAGCACTGCTCACCAGCACTGCCCCCGAGCCGGCAGGAAGGAAGGACAGCAGCTCACTGCAGACAGGCGTGCGTTGCTTTGTGCTCTCAGCTTGCTTTGTTCCGTTGCGCGCCTCGTGCAATGTCTCACAGGCGGGGTTTGTAAGAAACAAAGGAAAGAGAGGCACCCCAGGCTGCAGTCCCACTGCGGGGCTCCCTTGGCGGCTCCCCAGCCGGGTCCCAGCGCCGCCGCCTCCCATCACGCGGTGCTGCTCTTCATCTCAGACATTTGGGGCGCAGACCAAGATGACGGGGCACCAGGAGTTCTTGTTCAGCTTCCAGGATAAATCCAACCATCTTCTTCGTGGTATTGTCAGCACCTGCAGTGTGCGAGCACTCCATAAGATGTAGCCAGTCAGCAAAAAAAAAAAAAAAAAAAAAAAAAAAAAAAAAAAAAAG